AAACGGCAAAAAATGTGGCAAAGAAATTAACTTTATGTCCTGAATTCAAAGCGATATGTTTGGGGCAAATCCAACAACATATCACTGAGTACCACTCTTCATATTTTCAAGCATGGGGGTGGCTGCATCATGTTATGGGTATGCTCGTCATTGGCAAGGACAGGGGAGTTTGTTAGGATAAAAGTAAATGGAAAAAAGCTAAGCACAGGCAAAATCCTAGACGAAAACCTGCTTCAGTCTGCTTTCCAACCGACACTGGGAGACAAATTCACCTTTCAGCAGGACAATAACCTAAAGCACAAGGCCAAATATACACTGGAGTTGCTTACCAAGACGACATTGAATATTCCTGAGTGGCCTAGTTACAGTTTTGACTTAAATCGGCTTGAAAATCTATGGCAAGAGCATGAAGAATGTTTTAAATTAATAATTTGCAAATATTGTACAATCCAGGTGTGCAAAGCTCTTAGAGACTTAGCCAAAAAGACTCACAGTTGTAATCGCTGCCAAATGTGATTCTTATATGTATTGACTCAGGGATGTGAATACTTACACTATATATACAAAAGTATGTGGACACCCATTCAAAATAGTGGATTCTGCTATTTCTGCCGCACCCATTGCTGACAGGTGTATAGAATCGAGCACACAGCCATGCAATCTCTATAGACAAACATTGGCAGTAGATTGGCCTTACTGAAGAGCTCAGTGACTTTCAACATGGCACCGTCATAGGATGCCACCTTTCCAACAAGTCTGTTCGTCAACATTTTGCCCTGCTAGTGCTTACCCGTTCAACTGTAAGTGCTGTTATTGTGAAGTGGAAACGTCTAGGAGCAACAGCGGCTCAGCCACAAAGTGGTAGGCCACACAAGCTCACAGAACGGGACCGTGGAGTGCTGAAGCGCGCAGCACGTAAAAATCGTCTGTCCTCGGTTGCAACACTCACTACTGAGTTCCAAACTGCCTCTGGAAGCAAAGTCAGCACAATAACCGTTCGTTGAGAGCTTCATGAAATGGGTTTCCATGGCCGAGCAGCCGCACACAAGCCTAAAATCACCATGTGCAATGACAAGCGTTGGCTGTAGTGGTGTAAAGCTCACCACCATTGGACTCTGGAGCAGTGGAAACGCCATCTCTGGAGTGATGAATCACGCTTCACCATCTGGCAGTCCGACGGACAAATCTGGGTTTGGCGGATGTCAGGAGAACGCTACCTGCCGCAATGCATAGTGCCAACTGTAAAGTTTGTGGAGGAGGAATAATGGTCTGGGGCTATTTTTCATGGTGTGGGCTAGGCCCCTTAGTTCCAGTGAAGGGAAAGCTTAATGCTACAGCATACAATGACATTCTAGACAATTCTGTGCTTCCAACTTTGTGGCAACAGTTTGGGGAAGGTCCTTTCCTGTTTCAGCATGACAATGCCCCCGTGCACAAAGCAAGGTCCATACAGAAATGGTTTGTCGAGATCGGTGTGGAAGAACTTGACTGGCCTGCACAGAGCCCTGACCTCAACCCTTTGGGATGAATTGGAACACTGACTGCGAGCCATGCCTAATCGCCCAACATCAGTGCCCGACCTCACTAATGCTCTCGTGGCTGAATGGAAGCATGTCCCCTCAGCAATGTTCCAACATCTAGTGTAAAGCCTTCCCAAAAGAGTGGAGGCTGTTATAGCAATAAAGTGGGGACCAACTCCATATTAATGCCCATGATTTTGGAATGAGATGTTCGACGAGCAGGTGTCCACATACTTTTGGTCATTTAGTGTATGTAAATTATACTGAACAACAATATAAACGCAACATGTAAAGTGTTGGCCCCATGTTTCATGAGCTGAAATAAAAGATCCCAGATATTTTCCATACACACAAAAAGCTTATTTCTCTCCAATTTTGGGCACAAATTAGTTTACATCCTTGTTAGTGAGCATTTCTCCTTTGCCAAGATAATCCATCCACCTGACAGGTGTGGCATATCAAGAAGCTGATGAAACAGCATGACCATTACACATGTGGACCTTGTGCTGGGGACAATAAAAGGCCACACTAAAATGTGCAGTTTTATTACACAACACAATGCCACAGATGTCTCAAATTTTGAGGGAGTGTGGAATTGGCATGCTGACTGCAGAAATGTCCACCAGAGCGTTTGCCAGATAATTGAATGTTCATTTCTCTACCATAAGCCGCCTCAACGTCGTTGGCAGTACGTCCAACCGGCCTCACAACCGCAGACCGAGTGTAACCACGCCAGCCCAGGAACTCCACATCCAGCTTCGTCACCTGCGGGATCGTCTGAGACCAACCACCTGGACAACTGATGAAACTGAGGAGTATTTCCGTCTGTAATAAAACCCTTTCGTGGGGAAAAACTCATTCTGATTGGCTGGGCCTGGCTCCCTAGTGGGTGGCCTGGCTCCCAAGTGGGCCCACCCATGGCTGCGCCCCTGCCCAGTCATGTGAAATCCATAGATTAGGGCCTAATGAATTAATTTCAATTCAATATTTCCTTATATGAACTGTAACTCAGTAAAATCAATTGTCATATGTTGTGTTTATATTTTTGTTCAGTATACATATTTCTGTATTTCATTTTAAATAAATTAGCAAAAATGTCTAAAAGTTGTCACTTTGTCATTATGGGTCATTGTGTGGAGATGGGTGATTATTATTATTTTTAATCAAATTTTTAATTCAGGCTGTAACAGAACACAATTTGGAACAAGTCAAGGGGTATTACTTTCTGAAGGCACTTTATATGACATTTATTTGTAGGTATAAAGTCCTATCATATCCACCACTATTTGGTTACATTTTTTGTCCCTTTATGCTCGATGACTCAGGTGTGGTCACAGTATGGTGACAGAGAAAAACAACAACAATAACAACGACAACAACAACAATAACAGACAAGGATACATGGAGAGATGACACAATCCCGGGCAGTGATTGATAAGCATGACAAATGAACAAGGCAGTTATTAGCCCACCAGCCAGTGGAGCCCTGGTTCAACATGGCCGCCAGGAGGAGGTTTTTCAGGAGGAGAATGCGTTACTTTCCCGCTACCAATGTGTCTCTTCTCATTTTGGCCCAGAGCAGTAGGAGGAAGGTTGGGGGTAGACTGCAAAGCTCCTCCAGAGCTAAGCCGAGGTGGGCAGGGGATAAACACTTGACCAATTAAGCTGGAGGAGTCCTCTGAATTGTTGGGGGAGACGGGGACTAAATCTGTGCAGTACTTTGTAAAAGTTCACTTCAGTGACATGAAACACACAGCTTTTTTTATTTATTGAGACTATATACCCGAGAGTGTGATGCAGCAGTGCATGGTGAATAATATAAGACAGGCATTCTGAAAGACAGCCTTGAGTGTTTTTTAAATGTTGAATAGAGTGGATATTGGATATGATTTATCAGTGTGGTGAGTACCCTGTCAAAGGCTTAAGAGTGTCTAAAATGCCAGGGAGGCTCACAACTCTTTGCAGCAGAGACCCTGACTAAATGCAAACTCCAGGGAAACAAAGAACCCACACTTTCTGACACAGACTTGGACAAGCGAACTCAACCACTTTAACAGCACAGTTGGGACACAACAATCCCACAACTCCCACCGACTAGATAGATATCAGTGAAACACTTTGTTTGCAAGACACAAAACGACATACAAGCCCAAAGCTCAGATGTTTGATACTCACCCCTCTTTCCCAACACAACCAAACCATCTGTCATTGGAAATACACTGTGGAAGACTGGTGCAGGATGTCACCTTTTTCATGTTCTCTATGCACTTAAGAATACTATGCATACTGCCTTAATTCACCATGGTACTGTATATTGCTGCAGTTGCTCTCAAATAATTTTTAGAGGTTAAGGTCTGCACTTGAGCAATGTACATTATTATATAATTGAAGTTTCAAATTGATAGGGTTATAATTTGATGTGTCAAGTTTCAACCCTTGGGTGTGATGAAAGGAACTAAACAAAACATAGAATGTACCCAAAGAAAGAAGCATGAACTATGGACGAGCCAAAGATGGCCCAATGCAACAGCCCACAATTTCCCAAGTTTTCCCCAAACACATCAACCCATACTGTCACTGTTGCCATTTAAAATGTACGCCAATGGGCACTTCTTGATTAAATAGGAATTTCTCCTCTCCTCCACCTCATCAATACCTATCGACTGTTACTAGAATAGCAATTTAAAGTCACCCACGGTGATTTCACTCCTTGGTTTGTTGTGTGTGTTTATGTGTGGGCTTTGAGTCGTGCTGCAGGGATTGCTTGGCCTCTCTTCCATTAGTGTTGATCAGAGAGAGAGGGCGAGAGCGAGAAAGAGAGAGGGCGAGAGAGAGAGAGAGAGAGGGCGAGAGAGAGAAGCACGGTTCTGAGGGAACACAGGAATTTGCCTGGCTGTCTATTTTTGGGCCCCGTTGCCACTCAGTCTGCCTTTGAGGCCTCGGCAGCGTCGTCACATTAAGATCCCTCCATTTGAGGATCTCACACAGCCCTTTGATGTGGCTCTTTGTGCATGCACAAACAGGAGACTCAAGCACTCCCTTGGCATTCACCACCTATAAGGGTATCTTTCTGTAGAGCAGGGTTTGGTCTGTTAAGGACAGTGTTATTAGAAGGAGCTGCACAAACTAGTGAATAATTGAAATGTACCGGCTAATATTTCATTGCTGAACATATCAAATGGAATTTTCTACATCATGTACTTGATCAAAAATGGTTTTACAGCAAATATTCTCTTTCCTTGTTGCTTCCTTGCTGCTTGCTTGATGTGTGTGGACACACACAAGCAAACACACAAACGCACTCGCGCACACACACAAACACGTATACTTTAACATATAAAAATATACAAAAATGACTAAATTCATATATCTGCACCAGCAGAAAGGAAGTTGTCAAGCAATCACATCAAAAATACTGTTTCAAAATGCAAGAGCCACCCACAGAACAGGCCCATGTCAGCAATGACAGAGATATCCAGGCTACTTACGAATGAGAGGCACACTGGCGTTGGCCCTTCCCAGGATGTTGGCGGCGACACACGTGTAGTTACCATAGCGATCCTCTGTCATGTTGGTCACTGTGAGGACTGATCTGGAGCTAAGGTTCTTGATGTCAATCCCCTGACCCTTGTTAATCCTGAAATAGAACGGACGACAAATAAAGCTTTCCTTTTCTGAAAATATCGAGGAGGAAGAGGTGAGTCAAGAAGGGAGAAAATATGTATCAACCTCAAATAGGGTCTCTACAGTACTTCATCATCCTCTTCAATACATCAATTTTTCCTTTTGCTGGGCTTATGTCTTTGAGTGTTGTTTTGAAGGACTGCCACAGCAAGATAGAGAGACGACCCTAAGAGTAAGTGTGAACTAGCAGCATGTCACTTATTATTGGCATTCAATGTATAATTGTATGACACGTTTGCCATTATTCCTTTCTAATCAGTTTCTTTAGTTTGTTTTTCTGGTGGTATAAACAATCTGAGATGGCCAGATGAGTTACCTAAGATATGATGTACAATTTAGCCATTGTTCAAATTACCTAAAATATTGAAAAAGTCCAGGGAGAAGACAGGGATGACTCCTATTCTGGCAGCACAGTGGCCTCCTGTATATGCACTTGCGTAGTTTGACTGGCTCACAGTGGCTCTCGGAGTTGAAACGCTACGTATGACCTTATGTCCAGCAAATCTCTGAGCATCTGTTGTTCTCTCCCCCACTGCGATTTCCTCAAATGTTAGTTGAACATTCACTGATCATCTCGGTGGGAGTCTGGGAGCATGCTTGCTTCTCCTCCAGAACGCCACAAAACAAGCATCACTGTCTCTGTCAGAGCAAAAGCGTTTCTCTTTCAACACCATGAACAGTGAAGCCTCAAAAGAAAGATTTTACTGTCAAAACTGTCTCATTATTTCTGATGCAGACAAACCAGTGGCATGACTGCATTCGTACTATAGTGACATCCACACACAGCTAAATGTACTGTGTGGCACTTAACATCTGGGAACACTGAGTGCAGCTTAGCATATAGAAACATCCATGCTCTACCATTACGCAGCGCACACATCCATAATGTCTTTAAGACCTCTATAACTACGAATGTGTCAAGAAAAATGACTTTTCATGTTAAAAGGCTCAAACGTAGAGCTAGGTTTAGGATTAAGTAAACACTAGAATCATGGCAATGTGCCTCCTTAGCTATTAAAATAAATTGAATCCACCCTATAATTACAATTAGCGCAGTGTGAACTGATGATTGAAATTGTGCTCACTAGGAGTGGGTAAATGACGGGTAATGGGAGTAATTTGGTTTCTAAATTCAAGAACAGCCACTTGAATCTACACTGATTGATGTATGTGCTGAGAATGTTTTTAGCTAGTTGATGAGCTACGCAAACATTTAATTAGAAAGCAAGGTGTGGACGTAGTCAAAATTACTTTTCTTATTGGATTAGTTATTACTTATACTTTCCAAGGCCAGACTAGTGACAGTTAGTGCCAGACTAACACATTGTTTACACATTTACTATGTGGTGACATTTGTCAGGTGTAAAGAAGTCAAAGATGCTTCAGAACACACTCTACCCTCATTGCATAATGGATCGAACCAATGGAACTAGTTTAGTGCTAATGGTTGGCAACAAATGTGCATCCAACTCTATAAACCCAAAAAACTTTTATTTCCATGGCGAATGACCCAGAGCAATTTGTTTCTCTAACCTTTTCTCTCCCTTGTACCACTCAAATGATGGTGTGGGTACAGCTGCAGCCTCACACCTCAGCAGAGCTGTGCGTCCCAAGCCAACTCCATGGCTTTTCATCTCGTGGATGGCTGGTGCAACTGAAATGAAGAAGAAATAAAAATGTTACAAGGGAGAAACATTATGATATAGAAATACATTCAATAAAAGCCAATTTCCTCAGCTTGAATGTAGTACTGGAACATGGTTTTGGTCCAGATAGGTGTAAGAGGTGAGAAAGGCTTGAAACTTGAAACACAAAACTAGGGTTGCTGGAAACTTTAGATGTTTACAAATAAATTACCAGATTTTTGGTATATGTCAAGGATTTTAGGTAATCTATCACAAGACATCTAGTGGCCTTTTTGGGAACTTCATATTATCATAGGTGTCTGTAATTTTCAAATCAATTAAAATGTTATTTGTCACATGCGCCGAATACAACAGGTGTAGACCTTACCGTGAAATGCTTACTTACAAACCCTTAATCAATAATGCAGTTCAAGAAATAGTTTACTAAGTAAACTAAAGTAAAAAATAAAGTAAAAAGTAACACAATAAAATACCAATAACGAGGCTATATACAGGTGGTACCGGTACCGAGTGTCACGATCGTCAGGAATAGATGAGGACCAAGGCGCAGCGTTGCAGGCAAACATACTCTTTAATTAGAGACACGATCAAAACAACAAATGATACGTGACAGTTCACGGTCTAACATAAACAGACTTGAAACAAAATCCCACAACCACGAATGAAAATCATACAGTTTAAATATGGCTCCCAATCAGAGACAACCAACGACAGCTGACACTCGTTGCCTCTGATTGGGAGTCACTCAGGCAAACATAGAAACAGACGAACTAGAACCCCCAACATAGAAATATAACACATAGATCTACACACCCTGGCTCAACATAACAGTGTCCCCAGAGCCAGGGCGTGACAGTACCCCCCCCTAAAGGCGCCGACTCCGACCGCGTCAACCAAATACCACAGGGGAGGGACCGGGTGGGCACTCCGCCTAGGCGGCGGATCCGGCTCCGGGCCTGATCCCCGCTCCCTCTCCAACCCCCCAAAGTACCCCTGGTCTGGTCTGGCCCCGCTGGCCGGAGCTGGACTGCACACTGATGGAGCGGATTGCTCTAGCTCCGGCGTAAAACATCTGACCAGTGCCGAACCAGGCACCAGTGGAACAGGCACGGGCCTTGCCGGACTGACGACGCCCACCACTGGCTTGGTGTGGAGAACAGGCCGAGCCGGGCTGACGAAGCGCACCACTGACTTGGTGCGGGGAGCAGGAACGGGCCGAGCCGGGCTGACGAAGCGCACCACTGACTTGGTGCGGGGAGCAGGAACGGGCCGAGCCGGGCTGACGAAGAGCACCACTGACTTGGTGCGGGGAGCAGGAACGGGCCGAGCCGGGCTGACGAAGCGCACCACTGACTTGGTGCGGGGAGCAGGAACGGGCCGAGCCGGGCTGACGAAGCGCACCACTGACTTGGTGTGGGGAGCAGGAACGGGCCGAGCCGGGCTGACGAAGCGCACCACTGACTTGGTGCGGGGAGCAGGAACGGGCCGAGCCGGGCTGACGAAGCGCACCACTGACTTGGTGCGGGGAGCAGGAACGGGCCGAGCAGGGCTGACGAAGCGCACCACTGACTTGGTGCGGGGAGCAGGAACAGACCGGACCGTACTGGGGACACACACCACTGGCCCTACACCGGGATCTGGAACGGGCCGGACCGGACTGGTAACACACCCCAGTACCTCTCGCCGTGCCTCTACACCTTCCATCCCCTCTTCGACCAGTGACCCCCGTAACCTGGCGGCCTCCTCTGCCAACCCGCTGGACCGCTCTATCGCGGCCTCCTGCTGCCCCGACGTCGTGAGCCCCCCCCTAAAAATTTTCTGGGGGTCTCTCTTCCCCGTGGGCCAGGCCTCTATAGTTCTCGCCCAACTCTCGCTCTTCTGCCTCCAACTCCCGCTATTCAGCTCCTCAATTGGCTTGACCCAGTCGAAGCTCTTCCTCCATTGTTCCCAAGTCCACTCTCTCTGCTCTTCACTCGGCTTGACCCAGTCGAGGCTGCCACGGAGATCTGCTATGGATTTCCCTGGCGATGGCTCCTCGACTCGCTGCTTGGTCCAGTTGTGGTGGGATTTTCTGTCACGATCGTCAGGAATAGATGAGGACCAAGGCGCAGCGTTGCAGGCAAACATACTCTTTAATTAGAGACACGATCAAAACAACAAACGATACGTGACAGTTCACGGTCTAACATAAACAGACTTGAAACAAAATCCCACAACCACGAATGAAAATCATACAGTTTAAATATGGCTCCCAATCAGAGACAACAAACGACAGCTGACACTCGTTGCCTCTGATTGGGAGTCACTCAGGCAAACATAGAAACAGACGAACTAGAACCCCCAACATAGAAATATAACACATAGATCTACACACCCTGGCTCAACATAACAGTGTCCCCAGAGCCAGGGCGTGACACCGAGTCAATGTGCAGGGGTACAGGATAGTCAAGGTAATTTGTACATGTACAGTGAGGGAAAAAAGTATTTGATCCCCTGCTGATTTTGTACGTTTGCCCACTGACAAAGAAATGATCAGTCTATAATTTTAATGGTAGGTTTATTTGAACAGTGAGAGACAGAATAACAATCCAGAAAAACGCATGTCAAAAATGTTATAAATTGATTAGCATTTTAATGAGGGAAATACGTTTTTACCCTCTCATTCAGAAAGATTTCTGGCTCCCAGGTGTCTTTTATACAGGTAACGAGCTGAGAATAGGAGCACACTCATAAAGGGAGTGCTCCTAATCTCAGCTCGTTACCTGTATAAAAGACACCTGTCCACAGAAGCAATCACTCAATCAGATTCCAAACTCTCCACCATGGCCAAGACCAAAGCACTCTCCAAGGATCTCAGGGACAAGATTGTAGACCTACACAAGGCTGGAATGGGCTACAAGACCATCACCAAGCAGCTTGGTGAGAAGGTGACAACAGTTGGTGTGATTATTCGCAAATGGAAAAAACACAAAAGAACTGTCAATCTCCCTCAGCCTGGAGCTCCATGCAAGATCTCACCTCGTGGAGTTGCAATGATCATGAGAACGGTGAGGAATCAGCCCAGAACTACACGGGAGGATCTTGTTAATGATCTCAAGGCAGCTGGGACCATAGTCACCAAGAAAACAATTGGTAACACACTGCGCCGTGAAGGACTGAAATCCTGCAGCTCCCGCAAAGTCCCCCTCCTCAAGAAAGCACATATACAGGGCCGTCTGAAGTTTGCCAATGAACATCTGAATGATTCAGAGGAGAACTGGGTGAAAGTGTTGTGGTCAGATGAGACCAAAATCAAGCTCTTTGGCATTAACTCAACTCGTCGTGTTTGGAGGAGGAGGAATGCTGCCTATGACCCCAAGAACACCATCCCCACCGTCAAACATGGAGGTGGAAACATTATGCTTTGGGGGTGGTTTTCTGCTAAGGGGACAGGACAACTTCACCGCATCAAAGGGACGATGGACGGGGCCATGTACCGTCAAATCTTGGGTGAGAACCTCCTTCCCTCAGCCAGGGCATTGAAAATGGGTCGTGGATGGGTATTCCAGCATGACAATGACGCAAAACACACGGCCAAGGCAAGAAAGGAGTGGCTCAAGAATAAGCACATTAAGGTCCTGGAGTGGCCTAGCCAGTGTCCAGACCTTAATCCCATAGAAAATCTGTGGAGGGAGCTGAAGGTTCGAGTTGCCAAACATCAGCCTCAAAACCTTAATGACTTGGAGAAGATCTGCAAAGAGGAGTGGAACAAAATCCCTCCTGAGATGTGTGCAAACCTGGTGGCCAACTACAAGAAACGTCTGACCTCTGTGATTGCCAACAAGGGTTTTGCCACCAAGTACTAAGTCATGTTTTGCAGAGGGGTCAAATACTTATTTCCCTCATTAAAATGCAAATCAATTTATAACATTTATGACATGCATTTTTCTGGATTTTTTTGTTATTATTCTGTCTCTCACTGTTCAACTAAACCTACCATTAAAATTATAGACTGATCATGTCTTTGTCAGTGGGCAAACGTACAAAATCAGCAGGGGATCAAATACTTTTTTCCCTCACTGTAGGTAGGGGTAAGGTGACTATGCATAGATAATAAACAGCTAGTAGCAGCAGTGTAAAAACAAAGGGGGTGGGGAATAGTCCGGGTGGCCATTTGATTAATTGTTCAGCAGTCTTATGACTTGGGGGTAGAAGCTGTTAAGGAGCCTTTTGGACCTAGACTTGGCGCTCCGGTACCGCTTGCTGTGCGGTAGCAGAGAGAATAGTCTGTGACCTGGGTGACAGGAGTCGTTGACAACTTATGGGACCTTCCTCTGACACAGCCTAGTATATAGGTCCTGGATGGCAGGAAGCTTGGCCCCAGTGATGTACTGGGCCATAAACACTACCATCTGTAGCGCCTTACGGTCGGATGCCGAGCAGTTGCCATACCAGGCGGTGATGCAACCGGTCAGGATGCGCTCAATGTTACAGCTGTAGAACTTTTTGAGGATCTGGGAACCCATGCCAAATCTTTTCAGTCTCCTGAGGGGGAAAAGGTGTTGTCGTGCCCTCTTCACGACTGTCTTGGTGTGTTTGGACCATGATAGTTTGTTGGGGATGTGGACACCAAGGAACTTGAAACTCTCGACACACTCCACTACAGCCCTGTCGATGTGAATGGGGACGTGTTCGGCACTCCATTTCCTGTAGTCCACAATCAGCTCCTTTGTCTTGCTCACGTTGAGGCAGAAGTTGTTGTCCTGAAACCACACTGCCAGGTCTCTGACCACCTCCCTATAGGCTGTCTCATCGTTGTCGGTGATCAGGCCTACCACTGTTGTGTCGTCAGCAAACTTAATGAGTGAACAGGGAGTACAGGAGGGGACTAAGCATGCACCCCTGAGGGGCCCCTGTGTTGAGGACCAGCGTGGCAGATGTTTTGTTGCCTACCCTTACCACCTGGTGGCGGCCCGTTAGGATGTCCATGATCCAGTTGCACAGGGAGGTGTTTAGTCCCAGGGTCCTTAGCTTAGTGATGAGCTTCGTGAGCACTATGGTGTTGAACGCTGAGCTGTAGTCAATGAACAGCATTCTCACATAGGTGTTCCTTTTGTTCAGGTGGGAAAGGGCAGTGTGGAGTGCAATTGAGATTGCGTAATCTGTGGATCTGTTGGGGTGGTATGCGTATTGAAGTGGGTCTAGGGTTTCCGGGATGATGGTGTTGATGTGAGCCATGTCCAGCCTTTCAAAGCACTTCATGGCTACCAACGTGAGTGCTACGGGGCGGTAGTCATTTAGGCAGGGTACCTTCACTTTCTTGGGGACAGGGACTATGGTGGTCTGTTTGAAACATGTAGGTATTACATACTCAGTCAGGGAGAGGTTGAAAATAAGTGAAGACACTTGCCAGTTGGTCCGTGCATGCTCTGAGTACACATCCTGGTAATCCATCTGGCCCCGCGGCCTTGTGAATGTTGACCTGTTTAAAGGTCTTGCTCACATCGGCTACGGAGAGCGTGATCACACACTCACCCGGAACAGCTGGTGCTCTCATGCATGCTTCAGTGTTGCTTGCCTCGAAGCGAGCATAGAAGTAATTTAGCTCGTCTGGTAGGCTCTTATCACTGGGCAGCTCGTGGCTGTGCTTCCCTTTGTAGTCTGTAATAGTTTGCAAACCCTGCCACATCCGACGAGCGTCGGAACCGGTTTAGTATGATTCAATCTTAGTCCTGCATTGACCCTTTGCCTGTTTGATGGTTCGTCGGGGGCATAGAGGGATTTCTTATAAGCGTCCGGGTTAGAGTCCAGCTTCTTGAAAGTGGCAGCTGTTCCCCTTAGCTCAGTGCGGATGTTGCCTGTAATCCATGGCTTCTGGTTGGGGTATGTACGTACGGTCACCGTGGGGACAACATCATCGATGCACTTACTGATGTGGTGTCCTCCTCAATGCCTGTGATGCATGTGATAGAAGGAGTCAGGAGCAGGAGAGTAATACGCATCCAAAAAGTTTATTCCGTCGATAAACAGTTGCGCAAGCATGCGACAACAAAACTCAGGCACAGGGGAAATATCTACCCTGGCAACAACAAGGTAAGGGTAGCTCAACCGAGCTACACACAGCTCACAACAAACAATTACCCACACAGACAAGGAAGCAGAGGGAACACTTATACAATGACTAATTGGGGATAAGGACCAGGTGTGTGTGATTAATTAGACAAGACTAGTGGAGTGATGATAAATGGATCGGCAGCAGCTAGTAAGCCGGTGACGACGAACGCCGAAACCTGCCCGAACAAGGAGGGGAGGCAGCCTCGGCGGAAGTCGTGACAATGCCATCGGAAGAATCCCAGAATATATTCCAGTCTGTGCTAGCAAAACAGTCCTGTAGCTTAGAATCTGCGTCATCTGACCACTTCCGTATTGAGCGAGTCACTGGTACTTCCTGCTTAGTTTTTGCTTGTAAGCAGGAATAAGGAGGATAGAATTACGGTCAGATTTCTCAAATGGAGGGTGAGGGATAGCTTTGTATGCATCTCTGTGTGTGGAGTAAAGGTGGTCTAGAGTTTTTTTTCCCTCTGTGAGATGTGAGATGCTAGTAGAAATTAGTTCAAACGGATTTAAGTTTTCCTGCATTAAAGACCCCGGCCACTAGGAGTTATTACATTGTAGAATAATACTGAAGTCATCAAAACTATGAAATAACACATATGGAATCATGTAGTAACCAAAAAAAGTGTAAAACAAATCAAAATGCCACCCTTTGCCTTGATGACAGATTTGCACACTATTGGCATTCTCTCAACCAGCTTCACCTGGAATGCTTTTCCAACAGTCTTCAAGGTGTTCCCACATATGCTGAGCACTTGTTGCTGCTTTTCCTTCACTCTGCGGTCCGACTCATCCAAGACCATCTCAATTTGGTTGAGGTCGGGGGATTGTGGAGGCCAGGTAATCTGATGCAGCACTAAATCACTCTCCTTCTTGGTAAAATAGCCCTCACACAGACAGTATCACCAGCAAAGCACCCCCACACCATAACACTCCTCCTCCAAGCTTTACGGTGGGAAATACACATGCGGAGATCATCCGTTCAACCACACCACGTCTCACAAAGACACGGCAGTTGGAATCAGAAATCTCCAATTTGGACTCCAGACCGAAGGACAAATATCCAAAGGTCTAATGTCCATTGCTCGTGTTTCTTGGCCCAAGCAAGTCTCTTCTTATTATTGGTGTCCTTTAGTAGTGGTTTCTTTGCAGCAATTCGACCACGAAGGCCTGATTCACACACTCTCCTCTGAACAGTTGATGTTGAGATGTGTTTGTTTCTTGAACTCTGTGAAGCTTTATTTGCACTGTAATTTCTGAAGCTGTTAACTCTAATGGACTTATGCTCTGCAGCAGAGGTAACTCTGGGTCTTCCATTCCTGTGGCGGTCCTCATGAGAGCCAGTTTCATTATAGCGCTTGATGGTTTTTGTGTTTGCACTTGAATAAACTTTTAAAGTTCTTGACATTTTCCGTATTGACTGACCTTCATGTCTTAAAGTAATGATGGACTGTCATTTCTCTTTGCTTATTTGAACTGTTCTTGCCATAATATGGACATGTTATTTTACCAAATAGGGCTATCTTCTGTATACCCCCCTACATTGTCACAGCACAACTGATTGGCTCAAACACATTAAGAAGGAAAGAAATTCCACAAATTAACTTTTAAGAAGGCACACCTTTTAATTGAAATGCATTCCAGGTGACTACATCGTTAAGCTGGTTGAGAGAATGCCAAGAGTGTGCAAAGCTGTCATCAAGGCAAAGGGTGGCTATTTGAAGAATCTCAAATATAAAATATATTTTGATTTGTTTAACACTTTTTTGGTTACTACATGATTCCATATGTGTTATTTCATAGTTTTGATGTCTTCACTATTATTCTACAATGTAGAAAATAGTAAAAAATTTAGAAAACCCTTGAATGAGTAGGTGTTCTAAAACCTTTGACCGGTAGTGTATGAATAAATATTTTAAAAGTTATTCAAGTATATATTACTAAGGTTACGATAGATTGCCATAGATTTGTTTTTAATTACCAAAATGACTGAAGTTTCTGGTAACTTTGGTAAACTACCAGTAGCTTTGTAACCCAACACAAAACATAGCGACCACACTGTGGTCAGTGTGCATATTTAATGTTAACGCTACTGAGGCAGTGGGAAGGAAAAAAGCATCCATCCCAAGGGTTAGGAAAATGAAATGAATTGCATGGTGATAAATTGCTTAATGGAAGTTCAAAAGACTGAATGGCAGAGGCAGGTTCTGTGAATACAAAATGAGTCTCCTTTCATGTGCCGAGACGCGGTGTAAATCTCTTTGCCAATGTCAGGGAGGCAGCTTTAACTATGGACGCTTTCTCAAGCAGCCAGGGCTTTTTGTATTTAAAATATTTACAGAGCTTAAAGTAACACAGTCTTGAAAGGAAGAATGTAATTGCTAGATTGAAATCATATAGAATTCACACAAAGCATTTGGTTGAATCTAAATTAGTATGTGACGACAGTGGTTGGCCACTGAAATTATAACAATCACCACATAAAATAGGCTTTTTCTTTTCACTTTTTTATTTGTATTTATCATCAACTTTTAACATAATGTTCAATTCTTCTCACTCTTTTATGGTTAGTGGGGTAAAAGCACATCGTGCACAATATGTAAATAAAAAGCAGTACATATACATTGGCAATGTTCCTAATGCAGACAATATTTCCTTCTCACAGGGGTCTTCTGTGGGTCAGTGAAAACAGGTACCATCTATCCTACTCCATACAAATAATACAAACCATTCCAAATATGTCCCTTGAGAAGTGTTAGTCACTGAACTGCTGATTCAAAAGGCATATGAAAGGGACAGACGTCAGTGCCACACTACTGTTGTGATGTTAGTGGTGAATATGAATCAGTGTAGCACTCAAGCTACACAATGACCAAGTGAGTAGCATTGGTTTGGGGTTATACGATTGTCTACGGCAGTTTTGTCTAGTGGCCAGTAAGAATGCAAAGTCAACATGCAAAACAAGGTTGAGGTCAGAACATACTGTTTTACCGAAAGTAAACAGAAGCACATAGGGTGACTGAAAGAAAAACACAAATCCACTTAGGATTTGCTGGCTAGCATTCAATCACATGCCATGTCTGAATCTGAGTTATGGTATATTCCCCACTATTGAGTCTTTGAGAATCACCTGCCAGTCAGTCACGACCAGTCTGTGTTCTGTTCAGGGGGAGATTTGGCAGGGCACACTCAAACCTTTATTTCCAATTGCATTTGTGAAGTGCCCCTGCACAACCTCCTCCACAATGGAGACTGTCCTGTGATAGTACCTCTCGAAGGTGCTGCCTCATGTCACACTCAAGCAGGAAAAATACATATTCACCCTCGGGAGATGCTGCTGAAATGCCTGTTCTTATAGAGTACCACAGCATGAGTCATAATACCCATAAAACCTAGCGGTCAAACAAGGAAATGGTTCCAATAGTTTTTCCACCATTCATTTTCCCCATAGGGAATTTTAGAAACACTTAAAATAAGGGCTATGTTTTGTGTAGGCTTACCCTGGCGTGACGTTTTTATAACCGCGTAAATCTCTCTAGGACAAGGTGACTTTTATCAATATATTCGCCTGAATTTACCCCCCAATAATGACATGCTAATTTACTTCTAATCATAAAGAACTACAAATGCTATGATGATCTGGACGAGACTGCTGAATCGAGGCAAAGGTAAAAATCTTTGGATTAATTATCTTATGTTAGCTAAATTTAGTCATGAATAAATTGGCTACATTTCTTTAAACTGACAATTCCTTGAACTGACTTGTGCACACTTTTAATTGACACAATACCTGTTAGCAAAGGTGTCAGCTAGAGGAGCTTGCAGGTATTTGTAGTCTTGCATGACGTCTACTTTAATGCTAATTAGCATTTTTGAATCTGAGAGTAAATGAGCCGAATATATTGATCCAAGAGAGATTTACATGGTTATCAAAACTTCACGCAAGAGTAAGCCTCCACGAAACACAACCCTTATTTTAAGTGTTTCTAAAATTCCCTATGGAAAAATGATTGGAACCATCTGCCTGTTTGACTGCTAGGTTTTATGGGTATTATAACACCTCCACTGTGGGGCTCTATTGAGACAAATCACCAGTACAGAACATATTTTTCAAGGACTCATGTTCTTCTGAAAGAGCAGGGCACTCCATATACAGGTGTGTGCCTGTGTTCTTCGAGCAAGTTCATACTGTGCATACCCTATAATGAATATGCTACCTTTCTTGGCACTACATATCATTGCTGACATCAACAGTCCACTTAGACAGATGAGGCGTGATAAGAAAGATGCATTGCAACGCCGAAGGGTGTGTGCGAGTGTGTGCAAATCTTTCACGTGGAATCCTTATAAACATAGTACTGTGCATGCAGTTTGTATATGTTGATTTCCTGTTCTTGCGTGTCTTACCTCTGCATCCCTACGCCTCTGTACTCTGGAGAAGGGAGACCTAAGATTGCAAATCTAGTGGGCAAGTGAGACAGGGACTTTTCCTGGTAATCTATCACAGGGATTGGTGCTGTGTTGAGGGGTATTGGCAGGTGCTTGGCAGGCTGCCTGTGTGTGTGTGTGTGTGTGTGTGTGTGTGTGTGTGTGTGTGTGTGTGTGTGTGTGTGTGTGTGTGTGGACACGCGTGCTTGCATTTGTGTCTGTCTGTCAGTGTGTGTATGTGTGGACACGCGTGCTTGCGTTTGTGTCTGTGTGGACATGCATATGTGTGGAGAGAAGGTAGAGAGCTGGGGCTGTGTATTGGGCTGTGATGGATCTGCAAGGCGCTAACACCCTGCCTCTATCTCACAGCTGGATCTGGACCTCTGGAAGGCCCGCTCCTTTAATTACAAACAACATTAGCAATAACCGCACCATAAAGAAAGGCAACAAAGCAATTATAGCCTCTACCAGCACTATCTCAGCAGAACAGCAGAAACTAAACTACAGAGAGAAACGGGACTCTCTAGATGCAGTAACAAAGAGTCAAAACACCTAGTTGTTTCAACGGTTTAGAAAACACCCACAAACTCCTGAGCCCCAAATACACTGGAATATGAAACCTGGGTTTGCCTTTAGTGTATGCCAAGGTTATCAGACCCCTGGTCCAGAGGTGGGTCTAACCCTGATCTTACCTGGATCTGCCTTAGTGTATAAGGGGAAGCCTGGATTCTCATCAGTCTCCCTACAGATCCTGAACCGGGCCATACCTTCTATGGAGTAAAACAATAAGAACGTAATGGTGTACCATTCTACCACAGTAAGAGATGTGCATATACTGTACTTTGCAGACATACCTGGGTTCCTAGTCCATTGTGTTTGTGGCTATGATTTCAGAAAACCTTTGTCTCTAAACCGTTGTGTGGAGTTTGGATGAACAAGGGGCCCTAGATTCATATCAGTCCTAAGCAAACGTGAACAATGTCACTCAATACTCAGGGAGAGATAAAGGCAGAAGACAGCCAAGGGGTCTACAACATCTGCAGAAATGGAAGCCAATAACAAGAGTGACTAAATCAATCGCAGTATGCCAATGCTAAGAGCCTTGCCAAGTCCTCATAATCCTCCACTGGTGTCATTGTGCGGGGCCATTGATTAACATGCATTTGAAAGGTCTCTGTGACCTGCCTGTCAGTACAAACACACATCCCCTCCCATTGTGGGCTACATTAGAGACAGCGGTGGACACAATAGTGGAGGCAGCACCAACACTAAGAACGCACAGACCACGAAGTCTGTGACATTTTCAAAGCAGTGCAATAAAGCCTCCCACTTATGTACCTGCCAGTGTCTGTGCCTCACAACTAGCATCCATTTGAGTAAAATATCTTTGAAGATTTTTTTGGGGAGATTTTAATGTGTTGTATTTATTTTTGCTGAACTGTTAACAATGTTTCAGCACTGATTTGTGCATTCAAAAACCTAAATGCCCAGATTCATTATGAATATCAAAAATATGATGTCTACTAATATATTCCTGGGCAATGACTCCCCAGAACATAAACAAAAAACATAAAATCCAGTGCCATTTTAATAATTTCAATTTGAGCCAGCTGGCATGTTCTTCATCATCATATATTGTGTCTAAATACAGGTTGAGCATTTTTGGAGAGTAATGCAAAGTAGTGCACAAAAAATCATGAAGGCCCAATAATCCAGGTAATTTAGTGGCTGGAGAGCGCCGTAGCTTTGCTGTTAATCACGGCTGAGGTCCAGGAATAGCACAACCTCCATGAATAATAGGTGCTGCAGGGCCTCCTCTGTTTGACAAATTGCAAGTTGCAGGTGGATCATAAAGCAACTTCCCATTAGATTTACATTATACAGGCCGTGTCACCAAAACAAAGATGATGTGTACAATAGAACAGCAGCTATACAATATGGTGAACACACACATACATTATCAATACATTGTTTAACCTCTCTCTGTTTAATATTAATGGTTGATGTTGAACTGCAACCGTTTTGCCGCTCAGTAGCATTAAGGGCTCCTCCGTGTAGTCGCGTTAAGTGTTCCTTGATATTGTATCCCAGAAATATATTGAACAAAAATATAAACGCAACATGCAACAATTTCAAAGATTTTACTGAGTTACAGTTCATATAAGGAAATAAGTCAATTGAAATAATTCATTAGGCCCTAATCTATGGATTTCACATGACTGGGAATACAGATATGCATCTGTTGATCACAGATACCTTTAAGAAAAAAGTAGGGACGTGGATCAGAGAACAAGTGATAGTATTCAATAATGGCGCCGGAGGGGATGGCTGCCGTTTTAAAGGCTCCTAACCAACTGTGCTATTTGTTGTGTGTTTTTTTCACATTGTTTGTAACTTATTTTGTACCTAAAGTTGCTGCAACCGTCTCTTATGACCGGAAATAGCTTCTGGACATATGAACAGCGATTATTCACCTCGAACTGGATGAAGATTTTTTCTTTAATGAGTCCGACGCGAAGGATATACTACTTTCAGGAGAACAGGCCCAAATCCCCGTCATTGGTGTGAAGAAAAGGCAAAGATACAGAGGGAGAAGGTCAGGGTGACTTGTTAGGATTTGTAGGCGAGTGAGTAAATCGCCATTACCCTCGGCTTTATTGGCCAACGTACAATCACTGGAAAATAAACTTGATGATCTACGATCGAGACTATCCTACCAACGGGACATTAAAAACTGTAATATCTTATGTTTCACCGAGTCGTGGCTGAACGACGACATGGATAATATAGAACTGGCTGTGTTTTCGGTGCATCGGCAGGACAGAGTAGCTACGTCTGGTAAGATGAGGGGCGGGGGTGTGTGTCTATTTGTCTAATATTAAAGAATTCTCGAGGTATTACTCGCCTGAGAACACCACATGATAAGCTGTAGACAACACTATCTACCAAGAGAATTCTCATCTATATTATTCGTAGCCGTCTATTTACCACCACAAACCGATGTTGGCACTAAGACCGCACTCAACGAGCTGTATAAGGCCATAAGCATACAAGAAAATGCTGATCCAGAGGCGGCGCTCCTAGTGACCGGGGATTTTAATGCAGGCAAACTTAAATCCGTTCTACCTAATTTCTACCAGCATGTCACATGTGCAACCAGAGAAAAAGAAACTCTAGCCCATCTTTACTCCACACACAGATATGCATACAAAGCTCTCCCTCGCCCTCCATTTGGCAAATCTGACCATAATTCTATCCTCCTGATTCCTGCTTACAAGCAGAAAGTAAAGCAGGAAGTACCAGTGACTCGGTCAATACAGAAGTGGTCAGATGATGCAGATGCTACACTACAGGACTGTTTTGCTAGCACAGACTGGAATATGTTCCATGATTCATCCAATGGCATTGAGGAGTATACCACCTCAGTCACCGGCTTCATCAATAAATGCACCGACGACATCATCCCCACAGGCTAGAGCTGCCGCTTTCAAGGAGCGGGACACTAATCCGGATGCTTATAATAAATCCCGCTATGCCATCCGACGAACCATCAATCAGGCAAAGCGTCAATACAGGACTAAAATTGAATCCTACTACACCGGCTCTAACGCTCGTCGGATGTGGCAGGGAATGCAAACTATTATGGACTACAAAGGGAAACCCAGCCGGGAGCTGCCCAGTGACGCGAGCCTACCAGACGAGCTAAATGCCTTTTATGCTCGCTTCGAGGCAAGCAACACTGAAGCATGCATGAGAGTACCAGCTGTAACGGACGACTGTGTGATCACACTCTCCGTAGCCAATGTGAGCAAGACCTTTAAACAGGTCAACATTCACAAGGCAGCGGGGCCAGACAGATTACCAGGGCATGTACTCAGAGCATGCGCGGACTAACTGGCAAGTGTCTTCACTGACATTTTCAACCTCTCCCTGACTGAGTCTGTAATACCCACGTTTCAAGCAGACAACCATAGTCCCTGTGCCCAAGAATGCCAAGGTAACCTGCCTAAATGACTACCGCCCCGTAGCACTCACGTCGGTAGCCATGAAGTGCTTTGAAAGGCTGGTCATGACTCACATCAACACCATCATCCAGGAAACCTTAGACCCACTCCAATTCGCATACCGCCCCAACGCAATCTCAATCACACTCCACACTGCCCTTTCCCACCTGGACAAAAGGAACACCTATGTGAGAATGCTGTTCATTGACTAGAGCTCAGCGTTCAACACCATAGTGCCCACAAAGCTCATCACTAAGATAAGGACCCTGGGACTAAACACCTCCCTGTGCAACTGGATCCTGGACTTCCTGATGGGCCGCCCCCAGGTGGTATGGGTAGGCAACAAAACATCTGCCACGCTGATCCTCAACACAGGGCCCCTCAGGGATGCATGCTTAGTCCCCTCCTGTACTCCCTGTTCACCCATGACTGCGTGGCCAAGCACGACTTCAACACCATCATTAAGTTTGCTGACGACACAACAGTGGTAGGCCTGATCACCGACAACAATGAGACAGCTTATAGGGAGGAGGTCAGAGCCCTGGCAGTGTGGTGCAAGGATAACAACCTCTCCCTCAATGTGAGCAAGACAAAGGAGATGGACTACAGGAAAAGGAGAGCTGAACAGGCCCCCATTAACATCGATGGGGCTGTAGTGGAGCGGGTCGAGAGTTTCAAGTTCCTTGGTGTCCACATTACCAACAAACTATCAAGTCCAAACAAACCAAGACAGTTGTGAAGAGGGCACAACAACACCTTTTCCCCCTCAGGAGACTGACAAGATTTGGCATGGGTCCCCAGATCCTCAAACAGTTCTACAGCTGCACTATCGAGAACATCCTGACAGGTTGCATCACCGCCTGGTATGGCAACTGCTTGGCATCCGACCGCAAGTCACTACAGAGGGTAGTGCGTAGGGCCCAATACATCACCTGGGGCCAAGCTTCCTGCCATCCAGGACCTATATACTAGGCGGTGTCAAAAATGGTCAAAGACTCCAGTCACCCAAGTCATAGACTGTTCTCTCTGCTACCGCATGGCAAGTGGTACCGGAGCGCTAAGTCTAGGTCCAAAAGGCTCCATAACTGCTTCTACCCCCAAGCTATAAGACTGCTTAACAATTAATCAAATGGCCATCTAAACTATTTACATTGACCCCCCTTTTGTTTTTACACTGCTGCTACTCGCTGTTTTTATCTATGCATAGTCACTTCGCCCCTAACTACATGTACAAATTACCACGACTAACCTGTACACCCGCACATTGACACGGTACCGGTACCCCCTGTATATAGCCTGGCTATTGTTATATACATATTTTTGTTACTTTTTATTTTTATTTTTACTTTAGTTAATTTTGTTAATATTTTCTTAACTATTTCTTGAACTGCATTGTTGGTTAAGGGCTTGTAAGTAAGCATTTCATGGTAAGGTCCTACACCTGTCTTATTCGGTGCATGTGACAAATACAATTTGATTTGATCTGGTGTGACCACCATTTGCCTCATGCAGCGCGACATATCTCCTTCGCATTGAGTTGATCAGGCTGTTGATTGTGGCCTGTGGAATGTTGTCCCACTCCTCTTCAAATCCTGTGCGAAGTTGCTAGATATTGGCACAAACTGGAATACGCTGTCGTATACGTCGATCCAGAGCATCCCAAACATGCTCAATGGGTGACATGTCTGGTGAGAATGCAGGCCGTGGAAGAACTGGGACATTTTCAGCTTCCAGGAATTGTGTACAGATCCTTGCGACATG